AGTCATAGTAAATGTGTAATGAAATACAGGAAACGTCTTTGAGCTTGTGTGAAGTCATATTTGATGAATAAAATAAGTCTCAGGTTTACGATTGCCCCGATATTCGACGATCCATGGTCATGACGCAATCTGCATTAATGAAAACAGAATTGTATTGGGCAACACACATACACACATACACACACACATATATATATATATATATATATATATATATATATATATATATATATATAAGAAACCCGATATAAGAGAAACCCGGATATAAGAGATTTTCTAAAATATCCCAAATTAGAGCCTGTGTTAATGTATATAAAATAGACCAAATAAATATAAGAGAAACCCGTATAAAAATACATTCTCTATTCCCACAAACAACTCTCTTTTATCCGGGTTACACATACATATATATATATATATGTATATATATTAAAGGATTTTTATCCGAAATTATTTCTTCTTTATAGGGGGTACGCGTATTTCAGTTTCCTTTGTGCAGGTTCGATTCCGGTCGAAGGTACAATTTTCCTTTAGTAGGGCATCTGGTATTTAGGGCGGTATTTATTAATTACAGAGTTTGATAAAATAAACAAATAGTTATAAACACAAACATGAATAGCCATTAACAATAATTTTTATATTAATGTGGACACGTCTCTATTTAAAATTCTTGAACAGGACATTTATGTATTGTTCTACGATATATGCCAAGTGAATATTTCTTCTTTCTTTTTTTTACTACGCAGTTTTCCATTGTCCCCGATAGGAGAATCTATCCATCCTTACATATCTACATTCGTCGATACCCGTCTATTAGGGATGCTAGCCAATCCCTATAGTAGATGCTTGCTCAAGCGCATTTGTGTTTATTCAAAGAGTCCACCTGTGGTTTATACCGCATAGAACTTAGTTACAGTTTCTGGGTAAGTGAGTAACATCTAGTGTGATGAACAATTTTAATAAGACCGGCACGCTCAAAACCTCGGCCACGATGACTTGTGAATTCCTGCTAGCACAGCTATCGACGACCTCTAATTTCACTGACAGGGCTTGGGTCAATCTTGCAATGTTTTTTCAAGAAGTTTCCAAAGCTGGCACAGGCTTGGATCGACACCTCGAAAGTCGAGCATGGTGAGATTCGAACTCAAGTTTCATGGTCAGAATGCGGACGTTCTAACCACTCATAACGTGCCCATAATATATATATATATATATATATATATATATATATATATATATATATATATATATATTTAGTTTATGCAAACTTAGGTAATCCGTATGGGTAGACCTGAGGAGGATGATATCCAGAGAGCTCAATGTAAAATTCAGAGCAGATATGTTTGAATAAAAGACAGACCACGTTAAGATTCCATGTAATAAGCTATTTCACCATAACCCCTTTAACAGGGTTCTGGATCATCAGACTTTACTTCAAAAGCTGAAATGAAAATGAAAAAAGAAATTCACATATTTTTTTAATTCCTCATCAAGTATACGTAAAATTAACGAAGTGAGGAAAATAGATATAAAAATTAGCGTCTAAGAATTTGAATGAAACCTGTCGTGTAATTCATTGGGGTTGTTGTAACTTCTTCCTTTAATGTCGTTCTTATTATTCAACCCTTAGCCATCTATATCTAGAGACGAGACGCGTTAAATTTGAGCAACATCCAGCCGACATACTGGGGTTAAAATAGGAAACTAAAATGATACATATGACACACTCATATCCTCTCTCCACCTCACTTCCTCACTTCGTTAATTTTACGTATACTTGATGAGGTCCGTCAAAAACGTGTGAATTTCTTTTTCATTTTTCATTTCAGCTTTTGGAAGTAAAGTCTGATGATCCAGAACCCTGTTAAAGGGGTTATGGTGAAATAAATTTATTACATGGAATCTTAACGTGGTCTGTCTTTATTCAAACAAATATATATATATATATATATATATATATATATATATATAGATCTTCAATAAGACTTTTATGCTAACTACGCCATTTTTACAAGAACTACTGAAAATGCTCTTTGGGGAATTCCGCTAAAAATAGAAAAGGTTAAAATTGTTTTGTGTCTGCCCCACTGTCTTCTCAACTGAGCAATGCTTAGAGGAAAAATATCATTAAAGCTTTCACTAATGGTATCAACGTTCCTACTCTAAATTCCATCTTGAAAGTCCATTCAAGAATTATCAAGAGAACGGTAAATAAGTTTTGAAAAGAAGAAAAAGCTGGATGAGGAGGCCAAAACCAGAAGAGGGATCATCGTTTCAACTTGGAGCTAAATGCACTCTTTGTGTTCAAAGCAGAGTCCATCTGTATTATAAAAACCGCTGACAATTAGATATCTTAAATGATTTCTAAGATACAAAGCTTTAGCTCAAAGCTTAATCTAACAAATGATGAATTTTGCGGTTACACCCGATATATATATATTTTTACATGTTTATATTTAACACCCGATATATTTATTTTTTATATGTTTATATTTGATTTGTAACCTGTAGTCGATATTAAATTTGTCAAATGTTCTCAATTGCACAGCGGCTCTTTCAGTAAATGTCCTTCATTTTTACTTTACTTCGCCCCATCTCTCCCCCCACCCACCTTTTCTTTCTCTCCCTCTTATTCTGATCTTCAACATTAGATCGTCTATGGTGTGTGTATGTCACCATGAAATGTATCTTTATGCATTAGACATCCGACAACATTCATATTTCTCTTACTTAAACCCCTTCCACTGATCTCTCCTAAAATTCTCTCTGTTAAGGTTTAATCTCTCCTCTTCTCTAGTATGTTACCCTCATACTTACACTCTCTCTAAATTCTGTTTTTTATTTCCGGGGTTTTTTTTTCTGTTTTCTTTTTTCAAATTTGTAGGTCTGATGAATTGGATCGTATTTACGATTCCAATGGAATAAATTATGACCATGGAATATTAGTGTTTAAGCCTTTTATTATTATATATATATATATATATATATATATATATATATATATATATATATATATATATATATATATATTATTATTATTATTATTATTATTATTAGAAAACTTATCAGTATAAAAACTATACTCGCTCGGAAAACGTTCGGTGTGTTGATTTGCAAATAAGACAATAACAAAAGGGAAAAAAAGGTATAAAAAATGAGAGAGAAAAAGAGTAGAAATAAATGCTCCAGGGAGAAAAAGAGAGAGAAAACACGAGAGAGTTTTTTTAAGTAACAATGAATGCTCTAGAGAAAGAGAGATTCAAAAATTTGAGAGAAAAAAGAGAGAACAAATACCTATAAGGAAATCACTAAAAGAGAAAGGGAGAAAGAGAGAAAGAGAGGGAGAGGATGGAACAGAGCTTTAGAAAACCTGAGGGAAAGAAAGATTTACAATGAAAAGTAACAGGGAGAAAGAAAGAAATAGAGAGAGTGGGAGTGAGAGAGAGAGAGAGAGAGAGAGAGGCAGGGATAGGGAAATATAGAAGACCTGAGAGAGAAAAAGAGTAACATTGTGTTATGGTCCGGTTCCTTGTACCACGGTGATAGTCCAAGGTAGAACCAATAAAGAAGAACTCGAACACAGGAATGGAATAACACAGATATATTACAAACAGGAATATATACAGAGAAGTAGAAAGTGTTAGTATGAACAATCAGGTTTAGTAGAGAGAACAATGTTGTCTCGACCAGTATCAATATTCCAATGTCTTGCAGTAATTGTCTGAACGCGACTCTGTTTCGGACTGCCTCTCTTGAGTCATGTGGCACAAGGCCAGTTTAATGTGGGATCTCTGAGCCCGTGGGCTCAGCCAAAAATATGCCCATTGAACCCGTATAAACGGGTTCAGGGTCGGTTTACCTCCCCGAATGAGAATCCGCCCTTCGGCGTAGGCTCGTTCGGGTTCCTCCCCGCCCGAAAGCAGAGAGTTCAACCGATCTGTCGTTCAAGACTTGAGCGACGGACAAAATTTAGTCACCCCCCCACGTGGGCATCATGTGGCACAAGGCCGGTTTAACGTGGGTTCTCCGAGCTTGTAGGCTCGGCCAAAAATATGCCCATTGAACCCGTATAAACGGATTCAGGGTCGGTTTACCTTCCCGAAAGAGAATCCACCTTCGGCGTAGGCTTTCAAGTTCCCCGCCCGAAGGCAAGAGAGTTCAACTGATCCGTCGTTCAAGACTTGAGCGACGGACTATATTTAGTCGTCCCCACGAGGGCGTCATGTGGCACAAGGCCTTTTTAACGTGGGCATTTCCGAGCCATTAGGCTCGGCCAAAAAAATAATGAAACCGTATAAACCGGTTCAAGGTTCACCCGGTTTTACCTCCCCAGAGAGGAGACTCCGCCCTTCGGCGTAGCCTCCTTCAGGTTCCTCCATCCGTAGACAAGAAATTGAACCGAACCGTCGCTCAAGAGTTGAACGACGGACTCTTTTTTTACTCCTGAGTGCAGTATTTATTAAGTGTGGAATAGTCCATTATTATTATTATTATTATTATTTTTCTGGGTAAGATCCCATAACACATTGAATGCACCAGAGAGAAAGAGAGAGGTAGAAAAAGAAAGAAAATAACAACGAAATCACCAAAGAGAAAGAAAAAGAAAGAGAGGATAGATCGTTAGAAAACCTGAGTGAGAGAAAGATAAACAATGAAAGTGAGGAGTGGGGGGAGAGAATGAAATAGAGAGAGTAAGAGTGAGAGAGAGGCGGTGTAGAGAGATAGAAAAACTGAGAGAGAAAAAGAGTATCAATGAACGTTCCAGAGAGAAAGAGAGAGAGAGAGGAAACATGAGAGAGAGAATGAGTAACAACGCAACCACCAAAGAGAATGAGAGAAAGAAAGAGAAGGAGAGAATGGAACAGATCGTTAGAAAACCTGAAGGAGAGAAAGATTAACAATGAAAGTAACAAAGAGAGAGAGAGAGAGAGAAGTAGAGAGAGTGAGAAAGAGACGGACAGATAGAAAATATAAGAGATAAAAAAAACAGCAAGAACCATAGATCAAATGGGAGAGAGAAATCAAGAGCAAACAAGACGTTCTATTCCCCCAGGCGGACTAAAAGGTCTAGTTTGTTCCAATAAATACAATTACAAACATCCCATTTTAAATGTTTGATTTTTTCCAATTTTCTTCGAACTTAACAAATAGACAAAGAAAGAAGACAACAAGGTTGAATTTAATTTTCTTTTGGCAAAGGGAGTGCACAAAATTACAACATTCCTTTAAGTACTTTTCAGCCATCGGGATTGCGGACCGAAGCTTTCAGACGTCCTCCAGGGATCAATGTCTGCACTACGTAAGTAAAATCGAATTGACGTTTTCTGCTTTGTCTAAATATAAATTTCTACAGTTAGCAGAAAACAAAACAAATATTGTAATTTTTATCAATCTATTCGAAATTTTGAAATGGTGAAGAGAAGCAAGTGATAAAAAGACGTTTTTGGTAAGAAGCCCTCGTCTCTTCTCAGCGAAATCATTTCTAGCCATTTGACTAACCAGTAAGGAATATAAACCGAATAGTTATAGTATAAGTAGATAGATATGTTTGGCACAAGACCACAAAAGGTAGGAATCAAAGTAATCCGAGAGAAGATAAACCTATTGATATTATTTCAATATATGTATAATAATAAAAATGTTAATGGTCAGAGTAGAATTAGACCAGGCAACAGTATTAAAAAAAAAACTCAATACACATATAAAAAGATAAAAATATAACTTTTAGAGCTTTTAAGTATAGAAAACTCTGAAATCAGTCAATTTCTCTACATTGGTTTCAACCATTCGGTATCTTCAGACGATTTCAGTCAATTGATTTTCTAACGCTTTATCTTAAAAAAAAAATGAACGCTATATTTTTAAAGGAAAAAAAATTGAATAAGTGCACGAGGTGAGGTGTGGTAGAGGTGAGGAGGAGAAGGAAAACAACTGTATTACATATATATCGGTGTGGGATTAAATGAAATATATATACGTTCTTTTCATCCCACTTCAGATGAACTCAGAAAGTACTTTTTAGTATGTATACAAGGGGACATAATTTCCGATCTCTGATTCAAAATGATTTTTGGTCTGGAAATGTTATTATAGCTAATTTCTCTTGTTGACAAATGTTGCAAATATTACTATGATTGTTGTAAGGTTTTGCTTTTTTTTTTTTTTAAATATTCCAGTTTACACTCGGATCTTTTTTTTATTTTTCCTTATATGTTTTTAAATTTTTCCTTTATTATATATATATATATATATATATATATATATATATATATATATATATATATATATATATATATATATATATATATATAATTCTATTTCAAACTGTAAACAAAGGCCTGTATCTCGAGATTGCATTAGGCATGAATCTCCGATTGGTATTATGGATGTACAGTATTATATATTTTTATTAGCTGACCGCTACCGAGACACGTTGGTCCATTGGGTATAACGTTTGCGTCCTATGGTAAAAGTCCGGGTTCGATTTTCGATAGTGGTTACGCACTACTGAAGATTCCACAAGATCGGACAGTGGATTCTGCTAAACTAGATAAATTAATTATGATTTTATTAATATGTACTCTTTGTCATTTGCCTTTGTCTTTTTGGCAATGAGCATTTTCCCTTACACTAAATGATATATGTATGTGAACACTTACACATGCATTTAATTATATTTATTCATTTGATTATATTCATATATATATATATATATATATATATATATATATATATATATATATATTAATGCATGTTTCATTAAATTATATAGACAAGTTTCTTCTATTTATTTTAAGTAAGTTCCTTTCATATTGTCTGTTAAGCTTAATCACATTATCGTTGAAAGACGAAAGGAAAATAGTATATTGATATATGTTTAAATCCAATCTAAGCTTTCGGCTTACACAAGCCATTATCAAAGATGACAATTTCAATAAATCAAACAACACGCGGACGAAACAACAATAATAGTCTGCTCTTGCTGCATGAAAATTTCAAGTAACGACAAACTCGTATATACGAGACGCGGAAGCGAAAATCACGTCGCAGCTCGTGACGTCACACATAACCACGCGAGAGTGAAAAAGGAGAAGTATTAAGTATGGGAAGCCGTTGGCTAATGGCTTCTGTTATAAATTATAGGCATTTAAGGATATTTGTCGAGATTTCATAGTTTATATTGTTTAGGTTAGGTTTCAACTGTTTTATGCATAAAGCTTCAAGAATTTTTTAATTTTTTTGTTTATTGTTTTCATGTTTAATTATAGATGTGTTTCAACAAGATTTTTCCGGAATTGATAATATTATATATAGACAAGTTCTTTTAAATGTCTAAAGATATTAAATTATCATTTAAATGTAGAGTCAATCGACGTGAAAAAATAGTTTGTGGTGTGACCAACATGAATATTATATATATATATATATATATATATATATATATATATATATATATATTCAAGCAATTTTTGTTGAAGGATAACTATTTTATTTTAATCTTTCCATTTCGCGGATCAATTTCCTGATGTTGATATTAAATTCATTAAGCAAGGCGCCGTAGTCTTTTCCATTTCTTTTATTTTCCCAAGTATTTCAATCTCATCCAACATTCATCCTCAGGGGTAAATTCCTAAGAAAAAACTTAATGTAATTGATGGTTGGTAATTATTTTGTAATTGCGCATGAAACACGCTCTGTGATAATTATTAAACACGCATGAACACCGGTTTGCTGTGATTCATTTAATAATTAACTGTTAATCATAATACGCATATAAGAGAGGTAAGATAATTTATAATTTTTATTATTAATGTTTTAAAATACTCAACCTGCAATTTAAAATTTTTGTTTTACAATTTGAGTACACTAAAACATTACATTCAAAGCCAAAATTGAATGAATCAAATTTAGTTTTAGTTGTATTAATTTGAGACTATTTTGATTAAAAAATAAATTGAATCAATATATGCTGCCTATATATATATATATATATATATATATATATATATATATATATATATATATATATATATATATATTGTAAAATTCAGGGTTTCAAACTTCCATTTTTAAACATGGTTAGAAGATAAAAAGCGAAAAAATAATATTTTAAATCAATTAATTTATAATATTAATGCTCTGCAAATTTACATTGAGCACTATTTTGTAAAAATAAAAATATCTATAAGAACATCGGATTATATATTTTGATCTTCTTTTTTTTTTTTTATACATATATATATATATATATATATATATATATATATATATATATATATATATATATATATATATATATATAAAAAAAAGATAGACAGATAATAAATAGATAGATAGATAGATAATATATAATAGATAACTTTAGTGTATTTTTAGCCGATCTTAATTCAAACATATATTGTTAAATATAACAGACAACGAATGTATATTATGTTCGATCATGAGCCGTTCTCAGCTTCCTATAGTTGCTTTAAATTCAGGAGAAAATAAAAGATAAAAATATAGACCAATATTTGGATATTATATATTATTCCTGTTCCTCAGTCTAAATTTTCGGCTCATAAAGAATATCATTAAAATGGTTATATCCTAACTTTACATAGAGAGGTACATCACAATCTTTCTCCTTTGACGCAACACACACACACACACACACACACACACACATATATATATATATATATATATATATATATATATATATATATATATATATATATATAAATAAAAAGAAAAAACAGTAAGATATATAATATATAAAAAAAATAAAATAAAAATGTAACCTAATATACATACTTATACTTGATGTAAAAATAATCCTACATACTATAAGGGATTCTGATACATTTAACTGTTCTTAAAAAAAATATAGTATAATAAAAATTAAAAATGAGAATATTTCAAATCGTAGTTAAATAAAAAATATTCTAATCTGAACACCCCCGAAAATCTTTTAATTTTGCAAATAGAAAAAAAAATGCCGTAAAAATTTTTGCCGTTAACAATAAATTTTTAAAAAATCCAGACGACATGCATTCAACGGATGTCAGATTTCATTAAAAATACATCCCTACCCCTTACAAAAAATAACTAAAAAACGGATACAATAATACAGACATAATGAACACCCAGACACCCCTTTGTTCAGTTGAAGTTGATTTATCTGTAACCTTGGAAACATGAATTATGATTTTAGCTGTGTCTTTAAAACCCAGTAATTTTAAAAGTTACTCCAAAATTCGCTTGAGGATGAAATGGAACTAATGTTTTTAATTTAATTGCAAAATTAAATTCGTGGCTTTTAGCTTCCATTTTTGAAACATGGTTAGAACTTTTTGTAGCGGAAAAAACATTTTTTAATCAATTAATTTTAATATATATATATATATATATATATATATATATATATATAAGATGTTGAAGTGGCTGAAGATTGCATTTAAGCATGAAACAGACTGTTGACTTCAGTGTCAATATTCACATTTATATATATATATCATACTCATAACTATACCATATGGATGTCGACATTTTATATTTTTACTTTCGCAAGTACTTTCGGTAAAAACATTTACCATCCTCAGGCATAGATATTATTTTTGTTAATTTCAGGTAATTCGGGTAAAATTGCAAGGCGATAATGAATGTGATACTTGTCGAAAGATGTTTTAAAAATGTGCTATTATTAACAGTTAAGATGTTTTGAACGTGTAGTAATGCAACGCTAGAATTTTCAATATTGTAATTATGTAGTAATTCACATTTTCTATTATTGTAAGTGTATCTTTTCGCTAGCGTGAAATGAACTATTGGTCCAATAATTAAGGCAATGTCTTAGAAGATTTCAAAATATTTTTACCTGAGATCAAACCTGTTTTTAAATTAGTAAATACATGTCACCTTAGTCCATTTCTTGTCATATTCAATTGTAATATACGGAAAATATTCGTGAATATGAAATGATTATAATGAAAATCAGCAGACGTAACGTTTGTAATTT